TGAGAAACCATTATTAATTGAATTATACATCATAGAATATAAATAATGTTTTAGACGTTTGTCTGTCTCATTTTATTCTATTAATTAGATTTCTCCATATGCCACATATGCATGAACTTGTTGGATACCTATCTTTCTCTGCCTGGTTTATGTCACTAAACATAATATCCTCATGTTATCCATTTTTATACAAATAATAAGAAGATTTCACTTCATACAACTGAGTAGTATTCCATTGCTTTACCACCGTTCATTTTCAAAATTTGTGGTTTAAAAGATACAAACATTGGTTTTAACAATGCTCTGGTGTTTTAAAATTTTTAGTTTAGGGAAGCAAAATAGATTTTACTGAAAAACACTTAGAAACTTGTGAAACAGGTGTAGGGTGGAATGGAATATATGTTCAAGGAGAACACTTGTTTAACAAAGCAAGCAAAGAGAGACATAGAGAAAGGAAGCACGGTATTTCTTCAAGGGAGAACACAAGCTTGAGGACCAAGCCCACTCTGGTAGTTTAGGAATAAGAACTTGGAGTGGTATGAACTTAACTTGTGCACTTTACGGGAGAACCTGAGTGAAACTATTAGAAGTACGTTCAGGAGCATGATAAACTGGAGTCTGCACTTGGAGGGAGGAGGGTAGAGATTTCTTTGGGGAGATCCGGACTATGGAGAACAGTAATATAACATTAATGATAGTATCGTACCGTGGGATTCCAATAAAATCTTTAACGGTGGCGTCAGATATGATAACATTCTTAGGTATTTGGATTTCCTGTGGAAACAACGGGAAAGCTGAGTTTATGCACTGGATGCCTCAGCCTGAAACAAGGTCAACAAGTCATGAATGAAAAATTTCAAGTTAGATGGATCAAGGATTCTGATCCCAGTGGAAGGCTAGCTTTCGGGTGGACAATTTCTACTGATGGCCTGATGTAGATTCTGATCCTCGGACATGTAACAGAAAGGAGGTAGTGACGGGTATCCTCAGAAGTGAAGCCTCTGAGACAGAATTCATTCATGCCAACTTACGGGTTATCAATGTTTGCTCATGGCTGCTACCCTTATAACATGTCATCCAATGGTTTTGTGGTTTCAATTTACTGTGTAAATGTAAAGATGAAGTTTCTAAATGGAAGGTAAAAATCTGAGGCCCTCAAGATGATGAATTATGGGGATACGGGGGGGGGGGAGCTGGAGCTATACAGCATGTAGGGCATTTACCTTGCACACGGCCTACCCAGGTTAGATTGCCAGCATCCTGTATGTTCCCCCCCAAGCACCGTGAGGTGTAATTCCTGAGTGCAGAACCAGGAGTAAACCCTGTGCATCGCCAGGTGTGACCCAAAAACACACACAAAAAAAGATGATGACTTGCCTTTAGATATTTTGAAGTCAAGTAGAAACAGCCAGAAATCTCCCCAGAAAAGAGTTCTCCTGGGTCGAAAACATCATCACCTCTAGCGTGGGAAGATACAGAAAATAAGTTTTCCATTTTATGCCAAGTTAAAGCAAGCCAGACATGATCTTGGAAAGTTTGGCAAAGGAAAGCATGGCTATAGGAAGGATAAGGTGACAACTGAGGCTTAGAGGTAAAATATACAAGAGAAGCAAAGATCAAGAAGTACGCGGTACAGTGGCGACAAGGTATACTAAGAAGAGCATTTTTTAAAAAATAAAATGCAATGACACATCAAATAAGACCTTTTTAAATGTTTCAGAACAGGGATATAACTCAGTGATAGAGCATTTGCCTTCCATTGTATGATGATCTGGGATTGATACTTAGCATTGCAAACAGCATTATTTTTTAATTTTTAATTTCTTTCTTGCTTGCTTCCTGGCTTGCTTGCTTTTTTGGTTTTTTGGGTCGCACCTGGCTATGTATAGTGGTTATTTTTTATTTTTAAAAAGACTTATAATTTTACCTTTTTACCTGTGGTTTAAAAGGAAATCTAAAATATTTTAGAGTAAATATATGTGAGGAAGAATAAAATTCACAGGAACTACTTAGTGTTCTTAATGATACAGGAATCAGAATTTTGAGGTTAATTGTATGGGTATTGCATAAATAATTTTTCCCCATTACGTGGGCTCTCTTTTTATCATGGGCACCATTTTTTCTAAGTTGCAGAAACTTCTTAGTTTAATGTAGTCTCATTTGTTTATCTTCACTTCCTCTTCCTTGGTCAGTGGTGTTTCATTCTAGAAGTTTCCATTAGCTTGAATGTCATGAAGGGATCTTCCCACATTTTTCTCCATATATCTTAAGAATTCAGGTATGATATTGAGGTCTTTAATACATTTGATCTGACTTTGTGCCTGGCACTATAAAGAGATCTGAGTTCATTTTTTTTGCATGTTGCTGTCCAGTTTTCCCAGCACCAGTTGCTGAAGAGAGTTCCTAGCTCAACTTCATATTTCTTGAGCCGTTATGAAAGATTCGGTAATAATAATCTGAGGGCCAGCGTCAGGATATTTGACTATATTCCATTGTTCTGAGGCCTGTCTTTATATGAATGTCATGATATTTTGATTACTACAACTTTGTAGTAGGGTTTGAAGTTGGGGAAGGTGTTTCCTTCTTCTTTTTACCAAAGATTGCTTTAGCTCTTCATGGGAGAGAAGGTTGTGTATGAGTTTCAAGAGTGTTTAATCAATTTCTTTGAAAAATATCATGGGTATCCTCATAGAATGTGCATTAAATCTTTATAGAGCTTTGGGGTGTATTGCCATTTTGACAGTACTGAATCTCTCAATCTATGAGCATGGGATGTGATTCCATTTCCTCATATACTCTCTTTTTTCGTGAAGTAGTGTTTTGTAGGTTTTTTTTTTTTGTATAGTTCCTTAACCTTTTTAGTTGATTCTAATATACTAGATTTTCTGAGGTATTATTGTGAATGGGATTGTTTTTCTCTATCTCTTTTTTCTCTTTCATTATTAATATATGGAAAAGCCATGGAGTACCGGATATTACTTTTGTAATATGCTACTTTACTAAACAAATCTATTGTTCCCAGGTGCTTTTTTGTAGATTCTTTGGGATTTCCTAAGTATAGTATCATGTCGTCTCCAAATAGTAAAAGCTTGAGTTCTTCCTTTTTTATCTGGATACCCTTGATATCTTTTTTTTTTTTTACCGAAATCATATGGCAAGTACTTCAAGTACTATGTTGAATAGGAGTGGTGAGAGTGGGTAACTTGTTTTGTGCCTGATTGTATTCTGGGATTCTAGCTCATTGATTTCTGTTCCAAGCCTTTAGTTTTTCCCCATTGAGAATAATGCTTGCTTTGGGTTTGTGGTAATTTGCTTTGACTAGATTGAGGAAAGTACTTTTAACTCCCATTTTGTTGAGAGTTTTTCATCATGAATAGGTGCTGGATGTCATCAAATGCTTTATCTACATATATTGATATGATCATATGACTATCTTTATTTTATTGAGATGGTGTATTCTGTTGATTGACTAGAGAATGTTAAGCCATTCTTGCATCCCCAAGATAAACCTACTTGGTCATAGTGTGTGATCTTTTGTTGAGTTACTGGATTCTCTTTGCTGGTATTTTCTTGAGAATCTGTGTATCTGTATTCATCAAGGAAATAGGTCTGTAATTTTCTTTTTTTGTGGTGTCTCTGTCTGTTTTGAGTATTAGGGTGATCTTTGCCTCATAGAAACTATTTGGGAGTATTTCTGATTCTTCAATTTCCTGGAAAATCTTGAAAAATGTTGGCAGCATTTCCTCTTTAAAGGTTTGAAATATTTCACTATTGAATCCATCTGGGCCAGGGATTCTGTTTGGGGGGGATACTTTTGACCATCATTTCAATTTCCTTGGTAGTGATAGGTTCAAGTATTCCAAATCTTCTTGGTTCAACGTTGGGAGGCAATTGGAATCCAAAAATTTATTAATTTATTCAAGATTCTCTCATTTCCTGCTGCAAAGTTTCTCAATATAATCTCTGATGATCCTATGGATTTCTGTAGTTTCTATTAGGATATGCCCATTTGCATTTCTGATTTGATTTATTAGAATTCTTTCTCTTTGTTAATTTGAGAGGCTTCTCGTGGTTTATTGATCTTATTTATTTTCTCAAAGAACCAGCTTTTGCTCTTATTGGTCTTTTGGATTGTATTTTGGGATTCTAGCTCATTGACGTCTGGTACAAGTTTTATTATTTCCTTCCTCCAGCCTAGTTTGGACTACTTTTGTTGGTCATTTTCCAAAATCTTGAGCTCTAATTAATTCATGTAGATCCTCTCTTTCTTCCTGATGAATTCTGGCAGAGCTATACTCTTTCCTATTAACACTGCTTTTGCTGTGTCCCACAAGTTCTGGTAGCTCGTGTACTCATTCTCATTTGTTTCTGGAAACTTTTTATTTCCTCTATGATTTCTTCTCTAAGCCAACAGTTGTTCATTACTTCCCTTAAAGAAAATATTTCCTTGCTGAGCTTTAGTCTGTTTGATCTATTGAGAAGTGACAAAGTAGTGTTGAAATCTCCAACTAGTATTGTGTTGCTATCAATGTTTTTCTTTAAGTCATTTAGAAGTTGTTTTTAAGTATTTTGCTGGTCTGTCATGAGGAGAATCTACATTGAGGAGGGTGAGTTTTTTCTGATGTACAGATCCCATGATCATGAAGAAATGACCTTCACTGTCTCTTATAACCTATAGCCTGAAGTCCATGTGGTCTGATACTAGTATGGCCACTCCAGCTTTGTGGAGGTGTTCTTTTCTTTCTTGAAGTATTGTTTTCCAGCCTTTGAATTTGAGCCCATGGTTGCTTTGATTGTTCAGAAGTGTTTCTTCAGGCAGCAGAATGTTGGGTTCAGTTTTATAATTCATCTTCCCATTCTGTGCCTCTGAATTGGCACATTTAGTCCATTGACATTGAGAGAGATTGTTGTGATGGGGATTTGTGCTATCTTTATGTAGAATTTTTGTACTTGTGCGGATTGTCTTAGCTTAAAGTAGCCCTGTTAATTCTTCTTGCAACAACAATATGGAACACTTTACAAGTTTGCATGTCATCTCTGTGCAAGGACAATGCTAATCTATGTATCATTTCAATTTTAGTATATATGTCATCAAATAAAGTATGAGTTAATTTTTCCATATTTTTCTCTACTTATTAATTTGAGAGTTGTCCTTACTCACTCCTATGGCAGACAGTGATTCATAAGCAAGGTATGTATTTCAAAGCAGCTTGAATAGATAGATTTAGAACTTTAATGTCCCAGAAAGAAAAATATGGTTTTTACCATATTATCTTTTTCCATACCCAAGGCATCAGTTTTACAAAATAATTCTTTTGGAAGATAGTATATGTGTCTTGTTTAATGCCCTTCCCTGAAACCTTCATTAAGACCATTAAACTAGAGCCTTTTGCTGTTCTCACCTCAGTCCCTTGTACATCTCCAGGAAAAGGTGGATGGTGTTGTCTGCAATTTGACCACTTTGAATGTAAGTCGGATTTTTCTCCTGAATGAAGAGGTGAGGAGCATATTGATGATTTCATTCCACCTTATTGCAAGTTCAACTTGAAAGGAAGGTGAGACTCATGAGGCTCCTGTAAAGGACAGAAAAAAGGGTCTCAGTGAAGTTTAATGGCCAACACATATTAGCAACACAGATGACTCAAAGTAGCCTGTGTGCATCTTTGTGTATAGTGAGTTTCATATCTACTGATAGTGATTCTCAGTCATGACACACAGGCAAAACAGACCTGTAATTAAAAATCTAGTTCTCTGAGCAGAGTGGGGTCTCTGAGGTGATTGAACAAGTGTATAGTAATTTATTACTAAGCACATAAGTAGTTTGAATGATGTGTACTTTTCGATAGCGATAGCACAGCGGTAGGGCGTTCGCCTTACAAACGGCCAACATGGCCGACCCGAGTTCGATTCTTCCACCCCTCTCGGAGAGCCCGGCAAGCTACCGAGAGTATTCGATATGCCAGACACAGTAACAACAAAGTCTCCAATGGAGACGTTACTGGGCCCGCTCGAGCAAATCGACGATCAACGGGAGGGCCTTTACCTTTATTAATTCCAAATATGTCTAAAATTACAGTGTCCTGACCCCGCACCTGGCTTTCCTCACCTGGGCACCTTGGAGGGGTCGGGGTTAGTTTCCCTCACCTCCTGATTAGAGCCCCGGTAGCTGATGAACTCTGCTACCAGCTATAGGTACGCTTAAGACCACTCTCCCCAAGCTTGAAGGAGCCTCATGCATGAAGGAATTGGAAGCAGAACCTGTGTAAACACACAAAAAATAAAAGGCCGGTGGTCTGGCCGTTTCTCCACTCCACGAAGGTCAATGGCGATGGTCAGGAGATGGAAGGAAATGGGGGCCAGGCTGGTTGTTCCTAGCAGCAGGTTATTACATGGAAGAGATGTATGACATGGAGGCCTCAGGAATCCTCAAGCACGTGCGCGCACTGTGAGCCCGGAAGTTCCCCTTATATAGATCACAGAACCTCTAAAAGGCGCATTACAGTGAATTCATAAAAGGAGTTACAGAAAGAACATTGAGGCAGCAATCCATATGTTGTTTCTTTACATCCACATTGTTTCCTTACATCAGCAGGCCAGTAATACTGGCCTCTAGAAAGAAGATACAAAGCCAAACTGAAACCTTTCACAAGCACTTTCACAAGCTGTAAGCACCTTGATTTGCATCCCAAAGAACAGCCTGGCTAGAGCTGGGAATCTATATCCCAAAGATCAGTCCTGACTAGCACCTGAGATCTGCAGATCTAAGACCAGCTAGGTTTCTGAGAGAAAAGGCAAACTGTCTCATTATACTGAAATCATTTACTGAAGGCAGTTTGAAGGGGAGAAACAGTCTCATCCAAGCTAGTCAGGACACACAGGAAAACAGCTTCTAGGAGGTGTTTCTCCTCTCCTTGTCCAACCAACATATAAGCATATATAATATTAATCATTTTGTATGAACACAGTAAGAAATGCATTGAGCTTATAGAATTGCTCTTCTAGGGCCATTTCAATCTCAGACTGCAGTGCTCAGGCCAGATATCTTTCCTATTCCTAGCAGCAGGGCCCCTAATGTCGTCGTTACTTTTGGATCATGACATCATTTGCCTATGATCCATCTCTTAACTTATAGTTAAGAATCGTGGCACCTTGGCCTGGTCCATCGCGATGCCAGGGTAGCACATAACTTACCGGCTTGCCCTTGTTCCATCCAGTCCCACGTCGGGCCCCGGCCCTTGGGGTACTAGGAAGTGAGGGCAACTGAGGCTTAAGTTGAGAAGACAGAAGCCCAGGAGTGAATAATATTCAAAGCCAATCAATTCCTAAGTTACAAAGCTATAGTACTCAAAAAAATATATTCTTAAAATAAGAGTCTTCTGCACCTCCAAAGAAACAGTGACCAAAATACAAAGACAGTCTACAGAATGGGAAAGGATATTCACCAAATACACATCTGACAAGGGGTTGATATCAAGGATATACAAAATACTGGTTGAACTCGACAAGAAGACAACATCCAACCCCATCAAAAAATGGGGCAATGAAATGAACAGAAACTCTCTCAAAGAAGATATCCGAATGGCAAAAAAGCACAAGAGAAAATGTTCTACATCATTAATCATCAGGGAGATGCAGATCAAAACCACAATGAGATACCATCTCACACCTCAAAGACTGGACCACATTCAAAAGAACAAAAGCAACCGATGCTGGCGCGGATGTGGCGAGATAGGGACACTCCTTCACAGTTGGTGGGAATGCCGACTAGTTCAGCCCTTTTGGAAAACAGTATGAACTTTTCTCAAAAAATTAGAAATTGAGGTCCAATTTGACCCAGCGACACCACTCCTGGGAATATATCCCAGAGAGGTATAAATGTGTAGTCGAAGTGACATCTGCACTTATTTGTTCATTGCAGCACTCTTTACAATTGCCAGAAACTGGAAGAAACCTGAGTGCCCAAGAAGAGATGACTGGTTAAAGAAACTTTGGTACATCTACACAATGGAGTACTATGTAGCTCTTAGAAAAGATGAAGTCATGAAATTTACATACAAGTGGTACAATATGGAAAGTATCATGCTAAGCAAAATGAGTCAGAAATAGAGGGATAGACATAGAAAGATTGCATTCATCTGGGGGATATAAAGTAACAAAATATGAGATTAATACCCAAGAATAGCTGAGATCAACACCAGGAGGATTACTCCATAGCTTAGAGGCCAGCCAGGTATTCTAGGGGAAAGGGCAGTTCAGGTAGAGAAAGGAGCACCAAATGAAAGGTGTTTGGAGGATCCTCCCAGGAGGGGAGATGCATGTTGACAGTAGACTATGGACTGAACATGTTTGCCACTCAATGCCTCTTTTGCAGACCACAACATCCAAAAGAAGAGAGAGAACAAAAGGGAATGCCCTGCCAAAGAGGCAGGGTGGGGGTGTTGGGGGTGGTGGTGGAAAATGGGTACTGGTGGAGGGATGGGTATTTGATCATTGTATGACCGAAACCCAAGCACAAAGATTCGTAAATCTACAACTGTACATTATGGTGCTTAACTATTAAAAATTTTTTTGAAAAGTTATTAAAAAAAGAAACATATGGGGAAAAGAGCTAGTGCAGTGTGTAGAGGGTGTTTACATTGTATGCAGCTAATCTGAGTTAAATCCCCAGAACCCTGAGCCTGCCAGAAGTAATTCTGGATAGAAAATCAGAAGTGAGCCCGGAGCACATCTAGGTGCACTCCCCTCCCCACAAAAAAAGGAAGAAAAGAAAAGAAAACATATAACTGATTCTTGACTAAAATAGAGATTAAGGGTGCTAACTACTATATAACGTTTGAAAACCCCCAAATTTAATAGCGAGTCTGCTATTGACGAACAAGATGGTTTATTAATAGTATTTACTTACATTGTCTGCTAGTGGTGCTATATGTGGTCTGTAAATCTGTAAATTTGATACATTTAAAAATTTTATAATGGATTTTATAATAGACTTTATAATACATTGGTATTTTGTGTTTAATAAGTGACAAATTATATCTCTACTTTGTGGGTTATTTGGGCCATAGTATGTGGTGCTTGGGACTTCGGACTCTGTGCTCAATGGTCATTTCTGGTGGTGCCAGCCATTAATTTGGGTTGACTGTGTGCATGGTACGTGCTTTAACCCCTATACTAAGTCTGGGGTCCAATCAAATTAATTATCTGCATATATTTTATACATGCATGGCATAATTTTCTTAGATTTTTGATTATTCTAGGATATACTTATCATCTTTAATTATTCCACATCAATACCAATGTCCAAAAATGTTTCAAAAAATAATTATTGAAAAAAAATCATATAGAAGTTCAAATTTGTGTTGTTCGTGAGATAACTATATTAAGAAGAAATAGAACCACAAGAAACATACAAGTAAAATGAAGGTACATTTCTTTGGAGTCTTTAAATTATGTATTTATATTAGTATATATACAAGTATAATTTTTAAAAAATAAATTTCAGTGAAAATAAAATTTTTGAGTTTTGTTAATTGTAATGTTGTACTGCTAAGTATATATTTATGTGAACATTTATATATATATTTGTTTATTTTTCTGATTGTTTACTTAAGATCTGGAGTTAAAAGCTAACTTACTGATGACACGGTATATGGCTCAGGGCTAAAGCACTTGGCTTGCATGTATAAAACTTTGGGTTGGCCTCCTGCAAGGCAAATGCCCTACCCACTGTGCTGTAAACGTTATATAAAATATACTAATAATAAGAGCTAATGATGTTGGTGAACAGTGCAATATAAATGATTACTTAGTAATTTTCTTGATTTATTAATGAAATATGTGAGCTCTTGAGTATAATGGGAGTATTTTTCTAACATAAAGTCTGAGGAATGTGAAACTGTTATAACTCTACTGTAGGATTCCATCTCCCTAGCCTGCTTCATTCTACCTCTCTCTCTATCCAATCCGGTAATCTTCTTGGAAATCTGACCTCGTGATTGGCTAGCCTCAACCTTTCAACTGCCTATTTTATGACATCATTCTCTCATCAAACCAACCAACAACTGGTAGAATCTTGGGGTTCCCATGCAGGTGTTTGTAAACAAA